AAATAAAATTCCATTGTAATCAACTTAATACAATTTTTGCGACATAGGTTAGCTACAAGTCTGAGTGGCTGATGTTCTAATCCAGAAGACATTCTTCTGAATTCAGAAGGAACTTTCTTTCTGTAGCATAAAGAACTTGGGCTCCCAGATCTGCCACTAGTTTTCTGTGTTTATATACCTTGTATAAAAGAGACAAGATCCATTTCCCATGACTTTTAAAATGTGCTGGCTAATGATGGGTCTCGGTACACTTCATTAGAGACACATCCGGTTCACTGCTTTTTGTTAATCTATTTCTCTGCTCTTTTTTCCTATGTTCCTCAGTTCTGTTCTTGCTGTATATTATGGTTATGTACTGTAACCAACTGTTTTTCTAATACACAGAGTTCATATCCTTTTAATGTCACTAATTTTATGTTGTCGTTTTAACTGTGTGACTCATCAGTGAAGATGAATCTCTACAATATTAAAATGTATTCCCTTTGTGCCATAATAAACCTGAAAGTGATTTTTTTTAATAGTGTGGCATGTCTGAAAAGTAGGTAGGTTTTTTTGCATGTTCATCTTGAACCAGATATTCTATCAGCGTTAGAGTTGTGTGTTTAAAAGTATATATTCACAACAAACTCAAAATCTTGATATTTCACCTTGATATTTACAAAAATGGTCCACTTGCATGAAAACCCTGTTAAGCAAAATGACACCTACCATAACACTTTTTGGGGGGTTTTTTGAGGTGGAATGGGCTACTTTCTCTCAATAATTGCTCTGTTAGACTACAGTGAAATCTAATGATCCAAAGTTTTGCAATTTGAAGATCATCCAAGTCTAATCTCCTGTATATCACAGGCCACCAACAGCACACTCACGCTAAATCCAACAACTGAAATGAGACTCTCAGGAAACTAGACTATTATATGCTACAGGTGGAGAACTGGGTGGACTAAGATGCAGCAGTATCTAAGGAGCCTGAAATGGCAGAGGAATTACACGCTATTGCTTATATTTTACATCTGTGGTGAGTTAATTTCCAGAGAGATCTGTAGGCTCATGTGAGAGGAAATGAAGATTTACTCCTTTGTACTGAATTTCTGATTGCATGAGCTAGGTGAATGTGGCAGTGGTGTTGGTGGGGGGTATATATGAAGCATACGTAGGAAGGCATGTGTAGCTGTGACCCATGACACACATTTGCAGCGGTGGAGTCTACTTAAACTTCTTTACTTTAATCAGGTGCACCCATACATGGGCAGGACTCTCCCTCTTCTTCCTGGAGGCAAGGCCTGAGCGGGGAAAAGGACTTTGGTTGCTTTTAGAGATGCAGTGAAAAGAGAAGGTGAACAGGTTGGGCTGAGCCCAGCTCTCCCCTGCCCCCAGATCCCTCAGAACAGGTAAAAGGAATAACATAATACCACATTTCTTCAATCCCTAAAACACTTTCTACCACCCCATGATACCATCAGGGAGCTGCATGTTTGTGGTAGGAAAGGCATGCATGGGTGGAGCCTCGTGACTTTGGAATGGTGGCTGGAGTTGCTGTTGGTAGAGAAGGCAAGGGGTTGAATGACGGACATAGTCAGGGGAAGGGAATTTTAGGTGTGAAGTCATTTATACTACTGTTCCGCAGTTAAAGCAAGTGGGGAGGAAGGATTAATTGAAAGAAAAAAAAATTAAAACAAAATGGAAACAAAACTACTCAATGGATCATAGGTTATAAAGGATTTGAAGATGGGCAGGAATTTCGCTCTTATGAGTTGTTACAGGAGAAAGGAAGAGGTGAAAAGGATATGTGTATATTTCTACAGAGAGATTTAACGGCATCTCTTTATCTTGTTGAGCCCCATGAGAAATCTGAATAACTACATGGTGCTTCATTGTTCCTCATCCTTCCTTCCCGATTGTTTTTGTGTCCCTACTTAAGTCCTGTGAACTTTCTCTGTAAGCAGCACTGTAACCTCTTTACATAGTTTTTACAGTGCCCAGTCTGGTGTGACCCTGATTCCTACTGGGGCCTCTCAACATGGCAGTAATATAAATAACAATCCTACATCCAGTAAAGGGTTACTTTAAATTCAAGGTGTGTATACACACACACTCCCCAATCCCAACACTGCCTGCTTCCTTCTCAGGCAAGTTACTTCTCCCAGGAAGCTTAAGAACTTTGGGGGGAAAGAGACGGACAGTTGACTACGTCCTGAAGCCATCATAAGAAGTGGCTAAAGGACCACTAGGCCCTTCTATGCCCCAACCTGGTCTTTAGTGGGAGGGAGCATCCCTGGCCCGCCCAGGTCCTGACCAAAGTCCTCTTTGAGGTTCACGCCCATTGGAACCTCAAACTAAATAAAACTGCTGGTTTGAGTTCTTGATATAAAAGGTTTGTGCTACCCAATGCCTCTAGATTGCTGGTTCAGGTTAGATCAGAAATCATTGAAAGCTGTTACCTTTGGACAGACAAAATTGACGCCTGTTGGTGGAACAGTGTGGAAACTTGCTGTGTTGATCCCTGTGCTTTGACTGTTCTGTGGGTAAATGGAATTTTCCTTAGCAAATGTCAATTTGGTATCTCTTTCACAGACCTTAAATTCACTGGGTGTGGGACTGGTTGCTCAACAGGTGGGTGTTCTCTCAAGCTTTCAAATTTACAAATCCCAGTGTAAATAAGGCATAAGGCTCTGATTATTTGTGTCCTATAAAATAAACATTGGTAATCAGCTGCTGGCTGAGAGAATGTGGTAGATTTGCACGAGCATTTTTACCACATTGCATTTTGCAATGTTTCTCTCCTGACCTCACTCTGCCAACATCAGGTAGACACTCTTTTGATTTCTTTGTGCCATTCCAAGTGAAAATATGAGATTGAAGTCAGTCTGAGAAGACCTATGCTAATATGAATGACAAGGCCTTGGTCTTGGTATAGTAATTAAAATATCTACCAAAACTTTTAATTGAAGTTACATTGCAAAATGTCATTATCAAAATGATGGTCTGGACTGTGGTTGCCTTGCCATCTGTATAACCATTGTAAAATTGCATACAGATCTACACGGAGAGGTCCCTTGTAAATTGGGGTCATCCAGGACCACCTTTAAGGAACACAGTTAATGTTGACAGATGCAACATTTACCCTACCTTCTTATTTTCCTTGCTGTTTGTTGGCAAATTTCTAATCTTTCTAGGATTTGATCCCCAAAATAAGAGATGTATGTGGTAGCTTGCTAAAAATCCTAAGCAACTTTATAACTAAAATCCATGCCTACCAGAGGATTCTGCCCTCAACTGATTTCTTTTTAAAAAAATATCAATATCCACTTCCAAGGTGGAACAGTATTAAACAATGGATGGGGATGGGAAAGAGGCTTAAAAATACAGATGGTTGGACAGCCTCCTCCTTTGCCTTTAGACTTGAACCCGTGTGTGTAATATATATAAAAATCTAGGATAATGTTAAGCATCAGGGCAAATTTTGCAAAGGGTTGTGTATTTGTTTAAATTTGGCTACCATTTTGGCTACCATATAACTTAATTAGTATGGTAGTATATGTGTTTGCCATGGGAAAGATGGATTTCAGTCTCATACGCAGGCTATTAAATACAGATCCTGTATTGTGACCTAGGTCACTTTCATAAACCTGACAGATACTTCTTCACATTCAAAATAAAATGGAATAAAAATGCTTTCATGGAAACTTTGTAGTAAGTAGTGACTGAGGGGTCAAACGGGACTTATTGGTTCCAGTTAAGAGGAACTCTGCCTTAACTTGATTTTATTATAATTGGCTATAAAGAATGTGTTTAAGTATATCATATAGCTTGTAGGCTGATTAGAAAACTTAAAATTTTTTAACTACTTGACTCAGTTAAGCACTGAACTCATTTAGTTTAGATTTATTCCTTTACTACTTGGAGCCAAACCTGGACTACAAACATGATTGATTGTGTAATACTAGCACTTTCATTTCTGGTCATTTCCCCCCATTGCTAGAATTTCAATGCTGTAGCTCATGTTGCTCAGGTGATATCAGGTCTGTGGCTGGAGATTCTTTCCAGGACACTAAATGACAGTGTGTACTAAATAGTTCTATTTTTGCATTAAAGTGTACTCTGCATTGAATATTCATATTTTGATAGATTTGCTGGCATTAAATTTCCCAATTAAATGGATCTTAAGAGCTGTTGCTGTGTACTTGAGTACAAGGAACAAGATAGGCTCCTTGTTTGCTTTATTTGAAAGCTTTATAAATTATGACATTTGAACACGGCTCTAGAAAACAAAGCAGTTCCATATTCATATGTAGGGTTTGAAGTTATCCCTCAGCTAGATTGGTGCTGTTCTCAAAATGATAGGGGGCTTTTTTAACTTTCCCACATGTTAACGAGAATCCTCACAAAGATCTTTGAAAGTGCTCTTTTACTGTTGTCTTTAACTTGGGGCTTATTGGTGGGTTCTGCAATATTCCCTGATAAGTCTTTATAGCTACACTTTGTACACTTTGCTGCATCCTAGAAAATGAGACAACTTTTTGAAATGCATATCATGGAAAGGGTTTAACAGAAAAAACTATCTATTTATGTTAGCTATTTATAGAACTGATCAGAAAAACATGGTGAGGGGGACTTCTGTCAATTTCAAAACAGTAAAAATCTTCAAAGGCGCACTTAGATACTACAGTGACTGGTGCTATGTAGACATTAGCTGATCTAGAAGGTTATTTTAAGTTCCAATGTTAGTATGACCGAAAAAGACTGAGTAGATTAAAGTTCTAAGTAAACAAGAGTGGAGGCTATGCATTTAGTTTTCCCAAGTATGATCAAAGATACAAGAATGCCTATTGTTAAAATCTTTATATGTTAAAATCTAAAATGAATGATTGAAATACATATCAGACAATTTTCTTTTTTAGGTCAGTTTGCAGTGGCTTTTGTTCTTTGACCTTGGTATGAATCCTCAGATAAAGAGAACCCCTCTCTCTCTCTCTCTCTCTCTCTCTCTCTCTCTGCAGTTCAGATGGAGAATATGGTGCAGAGGAAAAAAAGAAGGCTGGAAAATCACCCAACCTATTGCCACAGATCCCTACTAGTGAGGCTGAATGTTTTGATGACCGGAAAAAAGCTGGCGCCACTAGGTAATGTCAGGAAACTGAGCAGCAATAAAAATTGCTGAGACGCATCCAAAAAAAGTGGTGAGAAACAAGATAAATATTTAGTACACGTAAGGTCCTGATTGTGGCCCAGCTTCTGCAACTGTACAAGGGAATAATGGGGTATCAGATGCTCACTTGTGCCAGCTATTGGAACACAGAAAGGAGCATTTCAGGGGAAGAGCAACCTTGTTGGGGCTCCTACATCCAACCTCCTATGCAAGTAGGTGGGAAAGGACAGGATGAGGTAGGTAGAGGGCAGAACCATGGCAGAACCAGCTAGCATAGTTGTACTGGCATGCTAAGGGAAGTGCACTGCACAGATCTAGACCTGTTGCAGGTTACTTCCATTGCAGAACAGGGAGAGACTGGGTGCCAGGCTTTGTCTGGCTCCAGGGCTACTCCTGGTGCAGCAGAATGTTGTAGAGTCCTTTGCTCATGACAAAGATATAACTGAGCTCTAATATGGGATCCCTGTGGTAAGAATCTTCTGTCTCTTCAACCCCTCAATCACACCATTCTTATAGGGAAACAGGATTCAGTGATAGAAATCTCTGTAGCAGTATATACTAGGTCTTGTGAAAACGCTAAATCAAAGAGTTTGGGTGGCAGGGAATACCAATAACTCATACAAAACAAAGGCTGTGACGGTTTTAAAATCCCAGTCGAACAGCTAGATGACTTGCTCAGAACCATGGGATGGAAGTCCTAATGGCGTGTCTTCTTGCCTGTTCCTTAGATGACCAATGCAACAACCAACCTAGGATCACAGATTTGCTTACAAGGCAAACACACGAGAGCCTATTACATCTTCTTGCACATACTGTGTTTTCCGTGCTTCTTCATGTAAAACTCTTGAGGAAGTACAAGAATTTTCACTGTAGACTGCACCTCTCCAGTTAGACATCTCTGTCCCATGAAAAATTTATCCGATAGTCCCTGTACAGTGTTTTTTGTATGGTCAATATTCTTACTATCATTCAAGATTTGAACCCAATAGTGACTATATCAAATGACACACATGATGACTTCACATAAAACAAGAACCAGGGATCACCCAATGAAATCTATAGGCAGCAAGTTAAAAACAAATATAAGGACTGGGCATTGTGTGAAGAAGTACTTCAATCTGTGGAACTAATTGCCAGGGCATGTTATGAAGGCCTTAACTATAACTGGGCTAAAAAAAATTAGATAAATTCATGGAGGATAGGTCCATCAGTGGCTATTAGCCAAGATGATCATGGATGCAACCCCTTGCTCTGGGTGTCCCTAAGGCTCTGTCTGCCAGATGCTGGGACTAGACAACAGGGGATGGATCACGTGATAATTGCCCTGTTCTGTTGATTCCTTCTGAAACATCTAGCATTGGCCACTGTCAGAAGACAGGATACTGGGCTAGATAGACCACTGTTCTGATCCAGTATGGCCATTCTTATGTTCTACTATCCAAAAGAAAAGCCATAGTCTTTGCCTATAAGGTGAACAAAGTATACAAAAGAAACTAACAGTAGTTAACTTATTCCAAACAACAAATGAACATTCCCTCTAACGTTAAAAGGTTTTCATTGAGCTATGAGACCTGGTGTATTCTGAAACTGATGTTAACTGACCTTATCTGCTTCGTTGTCATCAAGAGACTGGAGAATAAGAATGAAAGTTAGAATAGAAATAAGAATGTGTGCCATAGACAGAAGTATACATCCGGATGATAACAAAACTAATTAAATGACACTAAGCATGGTATTAGGAATGTTTTCTTACCCTCAGGACAAAGATCAGTGTGGACAGCCCCCTCCTGACAGCAGATATCAAGAGTGACTCCAAGATTGAAAGGAAAAAACGTGCCTCAAATCAGGTAATACAGAGATAACGTGTGTGTTTTTAGTTAGAGTAAATGACTATACTATCATTGTCTAGCCCAGTAACAGTACTGTTCATTGTAGTGTAAGCACTCAAGGTTTGGGCACTGCCACTGGTTTCTTGCCCAGTGCCTTTGAGATTGAGTGAAACATGGTAAGTGCAAAAGTGAAGCCTTACTACCAAGTACAGCCACTCAGGATTTGAGACAAAGGAACAATCTTTAACAGGAGCAGAAGATGACTTTTTTCCAGTTTAGTTCAAAAGATTTTAGAATATCATTCTTTTGGGAAAGTTCACCCGTGGGATATTCTCTCCCTCCTCGTCCTTGCCCTCTGCATATCTATTCTAATTATAACACATCAGCTTACTGGTGCAGATACACTCATGTGGCAACATCTAGAACATATATTTCTCACTTTGAAATGTTCTTTGAGGTTTTTTTGTTTGCTGTCCTCCGATTAAGCTGGAGTATGGGTGTAGTTTTGCCTCCAGAGTTGAGTAGTGTTACTTCTCCTCCTGCCCTGCCTTTGTGAATTTCTTCACATCACATTAGATGGTACAGCCAGGGCCGGTGCTTCCATTTAGGCGACCTAGGCAGTCACCTAGGGCACCAGGATTTGGGGGGGGCGGCATTTTGCCGCCCTTGGCGGCAATTCGGCGGCGGGGGGTCCTTCCGCACTCCGGGTCTTTGGCGGCAATTCTGTGGCGGGTCCTTCACTCGCTCCGGGACCCGCTGCCAAAGTGCCCCGAAGACCGGGGGGCCGGAAGGGCCCCCCCCCCCCCCGCCACAGAATTGCCGACGACGACCGGGAGCGTGGAAAGACCCCCACCTAGGGCGCCAAAAACCCTGGCTCCGCTCCTGGGTACAGCTATAGAAGAAACTTCAACTCTAACTATGGAGTTACAACTAGTGCCTCCTTCTCTTCCATCTCTGCAGAAGATAGTGCTTTATCCAGACAGCAGAGCTGGAGGATTCTGTAAAGTTAGCAAAAAGCTCAGTATGGATGTACCACTCTCAAACCACTAAAACTAGTGCATCTTTCTGTTGTATAAAGGTTGTACAAAGACAAATAAAATATCACTGAGCTTTCTTCTTTTGAGGCGTTTAAAAGAAGAGCTATAAGGCAATCTTTTACTTCCAGAACTCTTGAATTTGAGAATAAGGGGGTATTTATTCATTTAACTGCATTTCTGTAGCACTAATCACCATAGTATCTGAGCATTTAGAGGATGCTAAAGGAGAAAGCAAGTGTGCAGATTAAGGGGGGTAAATATATTTTAATGAAGGAATAACCAAAATGTATTCTGTGTTTGTTTAATTTTAGTTCAAGGCAAATGCTCACTATCACAAGCTATTTCTGGATGTCCCAACTGCAGAGCCACTGAAGCAAAGTAAGTACCACACGATTATTTTATCTGCCTCAGAATGCAAAGTGAATCCATGACAGGACAATGGAAGCTGTTGGTTATTCAAGATCCACTAAATAAATGAACATCTGTTATAAAAGCAGTTTAGCTGAATGGATTTATATATTCATAAGGCCTGTTCCTCCATCTACTCAGTGTTCCAGTGGGACACTTGCAGAATTTAAACACATCATTCCTTTGTTTTCAGTTGTCAGGAGATGTTTGTGAATCATAACCTGTGATGTGACTGTTTTGCACTTCCAAATAGAAATAACCAAGATTTACACATTCTACTTGATTACTACTGACTAATACTACCAAAACCTGCAGTAGAGGTGTGAGGGAACTGACCAAATGACTAGTTCATTCTGAAGACATTCAAGTATGTAAAGCTCTTAAAGTTCTGGCAAACTTTGTGTCCTATTACCTGGAAATACACAGTGATCAAGCTCAATCCCTTTAAATTTCAGGTGTTGGTAAGAGAAGTAGTGGGTGAGAGGGTGTTAAACTTTAAAAGTTTACATAGAGCCATAACTATATAAGAGCACAAAAGATGCACAACTTGTGACAATATCTTAAAAGAAGGAATAGCAACTCCGCATGTGGTCAGCATACACTACATAAATGGGGGATGCGGGATTGTTCTGTAGCCATAACATAAATCGCATCCTATTCAAATGCGTATCTCTCAATCTGCTTTGGGACTAATCTACATGATTCATATCGTATTTAGTGGGTTTAGAGAGAGAAGTGGCTAACACGCCCAAGAATTCTTCTTGTTTTCAGTATGTGGTATCCTGAAATGAGCATAATATATTCATAGGAAGTAAGTGGAAGTCATTGTGTAAAGTACTTTAATCTTTGGAAGCTTTTTCACATTGTGTATATTGTTGTACTCCTCAATGGAAGGTTTTACATTTAAGTTCAGAATGTGTAAGAAACTTCCTGAATTCTTCTTAACTCATTTGGCTCATCCCTCTTTACAATGCATTTTTAATACCTTGAAGATTTATCAGAGTTCAAACTCATACAGGTTTGAGCTCTAAAGATTTT